GTTTTTGCTTGTATGACCTGAAAAATCAATTTCTTGGAGTACATCACAGGACCATCCCCTCTGTGTTTTTGTAATCTACCCTTGTACTGCTTGCTACAAAACTGGGGCAGGGTTGGAAAGGGTTATACAGGACTGTGCTTACTGCTTTGAATTGTCCATGTCCTATCACCCGAAGGTAGCTGCATAACCCATTCCTTGAAGATTTAACTCGTGTGACCATCTGTCATACTGAACTGCTGTTCTTTTGCAGCAAACAGATTTGTAAAACATTATTTTTAAAGGTGGTCGCATTTCCTGGTAGACTGCAATGTTAATTTTCTCTATCTAGCATTCCAAATGTTATTAGAAATCAGGGAGAGACCAACACATGGGAATTGTCGTTTTGATGAACCAATCCTGGTTAAATCCTATGTGCTCTGCGCTCCTCTTCCTGATTCCAAAATAAACCTGTAGGTACAGATATACGTGAGCTGCTATTATTGACTTGTCAATGCAGGCTCAGGGCTGGGCTGGTCACCTGAGGCTTTGTCTAGTGAGTCATTGACAACAATGGCTATGATTTGATGCATGCTGGTGGATTGTGCAAATAATGATTTACCTATATGTACGAAACATATATACATATATATATATATATATATCTTTTTTACATGTTTTGTTGCAGCAGGCAAGATAGGTGAATCACTTTCACAATGATCTGTACTTATAGAAAGACTTAGGGCTTGTTCACACCATGTCCGGGTCATGTCCAGACCAGAACAGTTTGTTCCCAGACCAAAAAAGCATCCTAATGTATCCCTATGGTATTTCTGGGCTCTGTTTACACCAGTACAGTCCGTTCCAGTCCAGACCAGAAAAATACTGCTTGTCTAATTTTCTCTGGTCAGGAATGCATGGAAACGCGTCAAAAACACATGCAAACGCACCTGTAAGCCCATTTTAAGGTAAAAACGCAATGCACTGCATTCCAGATCTGGTCCGGAAAATAGTGTGAACCTGGCTTTAAGACTGAGGTTTGTATATTGTTTATTTCTCTCATTAACTTCATTAACATACAATGAAGAAGCCAGAGTTGTTGACCCTTAAGAAGCCAAGAAACCATAACCTACAAGAAGCATTTTTATTTTTTTAGCTTATGCTATGTGAATGAGAACATGTAACACATATAAAATAGGAGTTAACCAATTTGGCTGCGAAAGTGGAAATGCACTTTAATAAAGAAACATTTTCCAAATGGTAGATGTCATAAATAGTCACAGAAATTGCATACGTAAAGGACAATCATTGAACACAACGTAATGTCATGCATACGGCAGCTTTTCACTGTCAACATGCAAGTATAGCTAAAGCCCAAACTTTAACTTCAATAAAACTCCAATACAATAGAGAATGGATCACCCCTGTGATATCAGTAAGGGCAAAATCGAGAGGAACTCTCTAGAAGTGGAACAGACTTGCTCATTAAGGGCCTGTTCACACCATCCAATGCGTTCACCGCACGGTTCCGTGACATGAATGCACTGGATAACATAAACAAAGCCTCCCCACGTTCTGGGGCGAGGAGTGCATACATAATTTTTTGTGATCGCACCGCACTGGAAATCCCGCGGGGCATTGCGGTACCACAAGCAAGGTAGAAGGAGTGCCTGGGGTGCCATTGAAATGAATGGCACCACCATGCCCCCTCCTGCGCCAAAACATGGGGAGGCTTTGTTTTGAACTGTGCCGTGAACGCATTGGATGTGTGAACGGGTCCTAAAAGACTTCTCACTTTTTGCTCTGGTGACAACTTTTACATTTGGGATTTTCCACCACTTTCCATCTCATTATAATGGTCACCAGGAAAAACAGGGTTAATCTCCCCAGTGGGGGCATACACAGCAATCCAAACCTGACAGGGGGTTTATCCTTCTCACTCTATCCAAAACTTTAAAAAAAATGAACCAGTTTACCACCGCCGTGTATAAATAAACAGCGGACTGATGGAGGTTATTTTCTGGAGCACCACTTTAAAATGCACTCTGTGCACTACTTGTACACATAGGGCAGCTCAGATCACAGTCAAAATGCGCAGGGATGGCCAATCACAGAGATCACAAATGTAAACATTTCTGCTGTTTACATTTGAGAGACCTCCCTTTCCTCTCACAACAGAGGAAGGAAGAGATCATAAATTACAGCATATTCTAGGTGGAGGGTTTTCATTAATTTGATTGTGGGATTGTTTTATTATTATACAGCATTTATATAGCGCCAACAGTTTGCGCAGCGCTTTACAATATAAGGAAGACATTACATTCACAATACAATTCAAGACAAGATCGTAAGAAAGGGCCCTGCCCGTGAGGGTGAGGGTGTTTTCATTTAAACTCATCTCATCTCCATCCTGTCTCTTCAGTGCTTGTATTTTAATGCCTTTACCTCACTTATCCTACAAAGTAACCCCTTCATTTTCATCCTCTCACTGTATGTCCCCTGTACATTAACCCCTTCACCTTCTTCTCCCTCTGTGTATGACCTGTACATTAACCCTGGCCCTGATATCCTGTTTTAGGGTGGTTCCATTTCCTTGCAGGGCCCTATGGAGCCACCCTTGAGTGTGCTGATAAGTGTGTGTCTCCACAAACACACAGATACAGCAAGGCAAGACACTCCCCTGATACCTGCTTCCTTTCTCTCCCTCCTCCCTTCTCCATGCTAATAGATGGACAGCTGCTGGAGATTGCTCTGCCCCTTGTGATATTGGACTGGACTGGACGTTCAGAGAAGCCGAGCAGCGAGAGTTGGAGCTGTTTGGAAACATGATGACTGTAAGCTTGTATATTGTATATTTGTTTGATCTGCATTAATTATTGAATAAAGTTTGAGAGTTTAATACTACTTTAATATATCTAGTGCACCATTAGGCCTCATTCACACGGGAATCGGCCAGCACGTACAGCTCCGAGCTGCGTGCACGGCTGTATCGGGCAGCTCCTGGGAAGGACAGGTGCTGCATGTGATTAGTACGCAGCCCCCGTCCTTCTCTATGGGAGTACACAGCCATATGCCACCCTACGCTCACCCGCCCTGTATGTCCTTGCGGGTATCCGTACTCATAGGCTGACAGGATGGATCCTGTCTGCGCCTGAGCTGGGACATTCGCACCCGTACGGACCTGCACTTGAGGTGAGCGTAGGGGGACGTATGGCCGCATACTCCCATAGAGAAGGACAGGGGCTGCATACTAATCACATGCAGCACCTGTCCTTCACCGGAGCTGCCCGATACGGCCGTGCACGCAGCACGGAGCTGTACCTGCCGGCCTTTTCTTTTCTGTGAATGAGGCCTTAGCAAGCTCCATGTTATAACCCCCTCAATACCAGCATGTTTCTTCATTTCTAAAAAATTGTGGCGAAAATGAGGTCACCTCGGGGTGTCTACTTTCCAAAAAGGGGTCATGTGGCAGGTTTTTCGTACTGACCTAACATTTATATATGCTATGTTTTATGGACAATGGACCTGCATAGGACATGATGATGTTGGCAAGGCCTAGGGAAGAAAGGCTGTTGGGACCAGCCTAGCAGCCCGGGGGGAGCTGGCTGGACCAAGGATCAGGTAAGTATATCTGCTTTATTTGTGTCCCCTAGACAAAATGAGCACTTAACCCTTGCAGTGCAGAGGTAGCCCTACTGCAAAGGTACGTTTTTTATTATTAGCCAGAGTTTTGTATCAGAAGAGGCTGAGCTTAAAGGGGACAGAGCACACTGCACATATGCTGGTCGGGACGCTGAACAGAGCTGGAGCCAGAACCCCACGTAAACCCCCAGGACCCCCCTTCACCCACAACCACACCCCTACCACTGAACATGCATCATCAGCACCCCCATCCCTGCCTCAGGTGGCAAAAAGTCTAGGGACACCTGTGCTTGGGGTGCCCTGCAGCTTACATGGACAGAGGAGGACCACCTGCCATGGGTTTTTGTAGTCAGACCACCCATGGCCCTAAGGTATGACATGCAAAAGGAGCATTTTCTATTTTTTAAAGCGGAACAGTGATGCAGAGTATACTGGAATACATGGGGTCTTTTGGGGGGAAATGTGCATAAAGGTGAAACAACCCTTTAAATACCACCTTAAGCTCTATCTGAAAGAAATATAAATAAAATATATTATATATATATAGATATATATATATCTATATATATCTATATATAATTATTTTGGGTAGAGTGTTGCATGATGGAATACATTTTAAATTATCACAGCAATAAAAAGTGAAAAATGTCCTTGCCATAAAGGGGTATGTACAAGATTGAACTGAGGTGGTTAAATATTAAAACTTGGAGTGTAGGGACAACATTAGCGCATGTACGTCATTGTGAATGAATGGCCCATCGCCTCATCTTCTCTTGAAGTTGTAATGCGAAGCGAAAAATAGTCTTCTCCCGGCTATGTGAGGCGGACTGGAACACGTGACCATGGCAATTGCCAGCCACAGAGGGCAGTGCACCGCTCCCACCAGCTCTATGACTAGCGCTCCCAGCTCTTTCTCTCGCTGTCGGAAGTATTGCAGGACCAGGGGCGGGGCTTTGTTTTATTTACACATGCCTTTGCTATGGCACCCCCGTACAGGAAGGTGGTGAGTCCAGCATCGGTTTCCATGTAGAGCTGTGTACTGGGGAGAGCCGGGTACTGTGAGGGGAGGATGTCGTTCTTCAGGGAGATGGGGCTAGCCGCTGCCCTTCTGGCTGCTACTGGAGGAGCGGCAGTTGCTACATGGAACTACTTCACTGCCAAGAGAAGAAAGGAAACAGGGCAGGACTGTAACCCAGAAGAGGAGGATAGGACGGCCGAACTGCAGCACGAGAAGACACATGAACCCTCCATAGTGCCTCATTCCAGCCCAGGCTCTATGAAAGGTGTACATAAAGACATATCAGAGAAGGGAGAGCAGGCAACAGGGCCAGGCACACTGTCAGTACCAGTCCATAACAAGAGAGCAGACAGTGCATACAGTGTACAGGAAGAGAACAGAGCACACACACAGGGATCAGCAGTGCAAGTGAAAGGACAGAGAGCAGACATTACATACACAGTACAGGATGATAGATCACAGAAAGAGAGATCAGCAGTGCAGGTGGAAGGACAGAGAGCCGACTTTACATACACAGTACAGGATGATAGATCACAGCCAGAGAGAGTAAACAGTGCATACACAGTACAGGATGATAGGATATCACAGCGAGAGAGATCAGCAGTGCAGGTGAAAGGAGAGAGAGCAGAGAGTACAAATATAGTGCATGGAGATAGATCACAGCCAGAGAAAGCAGACAGGGCCCACACAGTGCATGAAGACAAGAGAGCACAGCCAGAGAAAGCAGACAGTGCCCGCACAGTGCATGAAGACAAGAAAGCACAGCCGGAGAAAGCAGACAGTGCCCACACAGTGCATGAAGACAAGAGAGCACAGCCGGAGAAAGCAGACAGTGCCCACACAGTGCATGAAGACAAGAGAGCACAGCCAGAGAAAGCAGACAGCACCCACACAGTACGTGAAGACAAGAGAGCACAGCCAGAGAAAGCAGACAGCACCCACACAGTGCATGAAGACAAGAGAGTGCAGCCAGAGAAAGCAGACAGTGCCCACACAGTGCATGAAGACAAGAGAGTGCAGCCAGAGAAAGCAGACAGTGCCCACACAGTGCATGAAGACAAGAGAGCGCAGCCAGCTAAAGCAGACAGTGCCCACACAGTGCATGAAGAAAAGAGAGCGCAGCCAGCTAAAGCAGACAGTGCCCACACAATACAGGATGATAAAGAGAGATCAGCAGTGCAGGTGGAAGGAGAGAGAGCCAACAGTGCATACACAGTGCAGGAGAACAGGATAGCGGAGCTTCTTGCATCACCTATGGAGCCACCTGTCATAAAGGAGCCCAGTGACAGCGACATTTGCACAGAAATACAACCTCAGGTAAGAACTCTCGAAGATAAACAACCTTTATTTCCTTCCTGTTTTGTAAACTTCATTCTAAATGCTTGTGTTGATTGTATAAGTGAAACACGCTTAAAGGAGAACTATGGAGTCAGTGTTTTTCCCCATAGTTCTCCTTAGGGTAACGGGAGGACACAAACTAGCGTCCTCCCGTCACCCTAGGCTCAGTATACTGAGACGCCGGAGCGGATCCCGACATCGATGTCTGGAACCGCCCAGCTGCGTGACTGACAGCTGGCTCTGCCTATCTAGCGGCAGAGCCAGCTGTACCCTCCCCCGTCCGTTCCTCCAGTCAGCGCTGGCGGAGCGGGAAGAGGGGAATCCAGGCCCTCCCCTGTCACGGCAGAGAGCCGTGACAGGATCGAGAGGTGAGGGAACCCAGTATGTGTTCGCTCACCTCCCGATCTACTGAGCCGACCTGTGACAGTCTCATTGTCACAGGTCGGCTAGAACTATGAGGTGAGTGAAAAGCACTCACCTCATAGTTCTCCTTTTAAAGGTGAATTATGGGGTGAGTGAACTGCACTCATACCCATAGTTAGAGCTGACGTGTGACACTGAAGCTGTCACATGTCGGCTGTATAGATCAAGAACTGAGCGATCACATACCGCTGATCACATACCACAATCTTCACCCTGCAGAGTGCAGCAACTGTCAGTCACCGCTCCACGCAGGGATTCCCCTCTCCTTCCTTTGGTGCTGGCCTCTAGGGAGACAGATCCAGCTGTCAATCAATTAGCGAGTTGATCCCGACCATATTGTCAGGATCTGTCCCAACTGCAGCACGGCTCTGTGGCCCGCTATATGCTAAATTTTGGATCGCAGGAGGACATTAGTAAATGTCCATTTGTAAATATCCTCCTGTGACCCTAAAAAGAACTATGGCCAAAAAAGCTTTGGCCATAGTTCTCTTTTAAGCTGGCTGGCAATTTCCGCTGAGTCTTCCGGACTTAGCCAAAATTCAATCCGTGTGTGGTTAGTGTCAAGACCTCCATTCGTCAAAAGTTGATTTCTCAAACACTTGTCCAATGAGCCAGTTAAAAAATTCAAGGCCGAATAGTGAGTGCAGCCAACCGGCTACAGTCGCTGTCCCTGTATTCTGACAGCAGGACACCCACGGCTGTCAGAGTACAATAGACCTGTAGGCGGAATTCAAAAGTTTGCCCTCTTTCAGCCCGTGGGGCTGAATGAGAAATAAGTCACAGCACATGTGAACTGGCCATTGACAGTCCCAAGAGAATAATGCAACCTTTCAGTAATTTTACAAGTCTGCAATAATTGTAATAACTGTATAATTTTTCAAAAACTCTCCATCTTTTATCATTAAAGGAGAACTATGGGGTTCTATCTTTTCTTTATTAATGCATTCCTTAGGCTAAATAAGTACATTATGTAATTTACTCTAATTAGCCAAAATGCACAGTAAGGCTGTAAACCCTTATTTAAGGTGGTGGGCGGGGCTAAGCACCGCAATGAGGAGACATCCCGACGTATCTGACGGGATCCTCCCCACTGATCTTCCTCACTGTGACTGACAGTAATTCTTGAGAGCTGCTGCGCGTCCACGAATATATGGACATGCGCAGCAGCTCTCTCCTTACCTGCACGTCACCGTGTGCCAGCCGGGCTCCTTCCCCCCCCTCTCTCTCTCTCTCCCTGCCCTGTGTGACACTGACATACTAAAATGACCGTGGATCGCTGATGACAGAGGGGAAGGAGCCCTCTCTCTCTCTTCAGCATTTACTACAAATGGGAACGTCCATATATGTTGTAAATGATGTCACTGGAGATCCCTGCAGGTTGGATGCTTGCCAGTCTGCAGGGATCCCCAGTGACATAATTCACCATATATGGACTTGCCCATTTGTAGTAAATGCTGAAGAGAGAGAGAGGGCTCCTTCCCCTCTCTCATCAGCGATCCCCAGTGAATTGAGGATGTCAGCGTTACACAGGGCAGGGAGAGAGAGGGAGGGGAAGGAGCCTTATCTCTCTCCATCATTTACCACATATGGGCAAGTTCATATATGATGAATGATGTCACTGGGGATCCCTGCTGATCGGATGCTTGCCAGCCTGCAGGGATACCCAGTGACATCATTCACCATATATGGACTTGCCCATTTCTGGTAAATGATGGAGAGAGGGATGGCTCTTTATCCTCTCTCTCTCCCCCTGTGTTATGCTGACATCCTAATTACTGGGGATCGCTGATGAGAGAGGGGAAAGAGCACTGAATATGCAGGGAGGCTGAGTCCGTCTCTTGCTGCTGCCTTCTCACTTCAGACTCCGCCTCCCGCTCACAAATGCCAGCGTGCACGAGCTGACAAAACACAGCTGTGCACGATGAGAGGAAGCGCGGCCACAGCAATGAGATCATTTGAAAAAAAAGCCGTGGGCGGCCTGGATCAAATGTTAACGCCCCCTAAGAAGAAAGGAGCTTGGAGCAGGGTTGAAGACGGCCATTTACTACAGGTTTTGAGGGTTTTATCTGTGATGTGCTGCGACTTTAGAAAAAAGGAACGATGCTACTACAATCAAGGTAAGGGGTATTTTGATTTGCCCTTAAGTCATATTTCTCCTTTAAGAAGCTGTGCTTGAGCTCCTGCAGTGTGACTTTGCCTATGCTTAGATGATGTGAAAGCATTTCCTCTGTCTCCTCTCCTGCAGTTAAGGTGCCCATACACCTTACGACCCTCGCCAGACTTTTGTCTGGCGATGGTCGTATGCTTATTGAAAGCTCGTACGATCTGCCCACCTTGGACGGGCAGATCGTACTTGCGATCATCGAAAGCCCGCCCCGCTGAGGGGCGGGCTTCC